ACCCTCTGACTAAGAGATGTGTGAGTGGTGTTGTGTCCATATGAGATCTTTACTTACAAAGTGAGTTGAATTAAAATTATGCTGTTTTCATTGTGGTCATCACACTAGATGGCTTGTTTTCTTGTGGTCTCCTTTCAAATCTGATAATGTGACTTTCTCCTCAAAATATACATCTATTTGATTGTTTAAAAGATGACTTAGTTTTACAAGGGAAAGAACTTGAGTCTGGCTTCCAACTAAATGTTCTTGCAGATGCAAACTGAGATGATTAACTAGTAGAATTTTTATCAATTGTCTTTTTCACATCTGAGAGAATCTGTTGCATTGGAAGAGAACTTCCTGCCGAAGTTGCACATTGTGATGCCTGAGGAAAGTTTTGTAAATTGGGTTTCTGTCACACACCCTAAGTTTTTCTTCTAAAGATGAGCTGTTCTTGCTCTTGTCTGCTTAGTGCAAAGACTCAGTCTCCACTGTGTAATTAAGATAGAATATTTTCAACCAGTAGATATCATTCTAAACGCCATAGTGTTGGGAATCTTGAATGCCTGCATGTCAAAAGGCAGTTTAAAACAATGGCTTGCCTCAGGAGCCTGCTTGGGTTGGTATCCTGGTTTTCTGCATTCTAGGTATGTAATCTTGGGCAATTGGCATAACTCTGGTGCAATGTCCTGATCTGTAAAATGAGAATAATGATGACAGAACCTGTTTCATAAGGTTGTTGTGAGGATTGAATCTGAGCCCATCAAGTACTCAGAACAATGTGTGACACATGGTAAGCATTATATCAACACTTGCTATTATTTTTATCAATGACAGTATCTACATTAGACCTGGTGACCTGGGACTGGAAGTTCCAAGTGCCTTTATTCTCTAAGTTCAGTATTGTCCACTTTTATTGTCAAATTTCTCCCTTTGATTTTATAGGCCAGCCTTATCAGTTCTTTTCTGTTTATATGGTTTCCATATATGCTTATTTAATAATGGTAGTGTATGAGAGATAAATGTGCCCAATTATTTTATTGTGTGTTAGTGAGTACTGTGGGACTGTATCCACTCAATATATACCATATGCTTTGTGAAATGGTATGTGCGTTTAAATATTCATATGTCATTTTACAAAGATTGTAAGGATTTTTTTCTTAAATCTTTATTTGGTAAACTTGTTTTTTCTCTGAAAGTTATAGCCTAATATATATTATTATTTATCTATTATTTCTTCAGTTTCTAGAGCTTAGTGGCTGGGATATATTCTAACTCAAACACTGCAACTTCTTTTCCCACCCTCTTTGCTTTTGTGAAGAACAACTGTGGTATTAAAGAAACAGCTGACAGAACGTTAGAAAAGCAGTGTGGAGTTGTAGTTGTATCACGAACCACACGTAGAGTCTTGGGTAATTCTGGTCCAGAGAACTATGATTGTCATTTCCCTCTGTGCTTAAAGAATCAATATATTATAAATAACTTACAAGTAAAAAGATTCTTCCTGCTTGTCTTATAAATTTATCTCATTTCTTTATAGTACTTTATTCTGCAAACCAGATTTCTGAAATACATAGTTTTCAGAGTTTTGCATGGGTGTCAGAATGTTCTAGGTAAATAATTGGTTGTTCCAGTTCACTCTCTTTTCAGAGGTATGGTCCCAGAAGGCCACCCAGTTCTGACCCTGCTTGCCTCTCTGACCTCACCTCCCCCCTCTCCCCCACTTAGTCCAGTCTAATCATGCGGACCTCCCTACTCCTCTGTGAGGATGCCTACCACGTTCCCACCTCAGGACTTTTGAATGCATTGTTTCATCTGCCTGGAATGCTCTTCTCCCCAGAGCTGTAACAGTTGGCTCCCTTGTATCCATCAGGTCTCAGTTCAGATGTCACCACATGAGCGTATGTCCCTAATCCTCCTAAACCCCACAAAACAGCCCCTCTGTCACTCTCTACCCTCTTACCCTGCTCTAGATTTCCTCATAGAACTTACCTCTAACATAGTATATACTTTGTTTTATTGTTTGCTTTCCCTACTAATATGTAAGTTCCATCCATATTCAGTACTATTCAGCATGGTGTCCCTAGAGCCTGATATAGATTTATGATAGCACATAGCAGGCACTCAAAAAGGTTTTTGAATTAAGCAAGTAACTTCTTCTGATATTTCCAATTGCCTAGTTACTTCATGTACTTTAAAGGTTTTAGAGATGATATTTGGATGTATTTTGAAGGTGGGTCTGATTTATAGTTTAGTTGTATTAATCACCTATATGGAACAAAATTGCTAACTATTACTTAGAATATATCATGTTAGAATTGATCTGATCTTACAATGAATACATCTTGCAGAGATAATGTTTACAGATCACCTAACATATACTTCTTGTTTTTGCAGATATGCCAGATGTTACACAAGCTTCTTAGTGGCAGAACCCTAATTTTATCTGTGATATACTTCATTCTTATCGTTTTGTACAGCTTATATATAAAACTGTGTTTAATTTCCTAGTCAATTTATTTTTTCTTAGTTGTGTTTTTTCGCTTACTACTTGATTATCTTTTTCCCCAAAGTATATGTTACAATAGTGTTTTCTCTAGTTTTCGGTCACATAGCTATCACATGCTGGTAGGGGAGTGTGGAGGACCTTTGGTATGCCTCTGCCTCCTCTGGAAATCTCCATTTGGGGAGATCTCACAGTTAACAGAATCGATATTAGCAAAAAACAAATGCCTTATAGTTCTACCTGAACTGACACCTTTGCTGTATCACTTGAAATAATTCATTCTAGTTGCTTAGGATGGAAACTGTGGTTAATAAGAGGTAGCATTTTTTACCTCTCCCTGTCACCTATCCCCTATATCCAAGGAGTTGCCAAATCCTGGAGAACTTCCTTCTTTCTGGAGGACCTTGATTAGCAGAGATGACCCTTTGTCACATGCTGGCCATTGCAGATGATTTTTAACTCTCTCGTGACATAAAGGAATCACCCTCTATGAGGCCAAATTTATAGATGATATTGTTGTGCCTTTCTAACGAATAATCCATAACTTCACTTAAGGATGAGCACTAGGGCATGGGAAAAGTATCTGTATAGCATTGAATAGAGTGCTTTGGACTCTGGCTGTACTCAATAAAATCAGTTACCCTTAGTCCTCATTTTGAGGATGTAGTATTCCTCTTGTTACACTGTTATTTTCTTAATAAAAAAGGAGTATTTTCCTTTTTTAAAAGTTTTAAATGAACTGTGTTAAAAGTCATCTGTGTACAAATGGAGAAAATGGGTAAAGTAGCCACCTTTCAAAACTATGGAAGTGCTTTTAAACCATTGGGTTACACTGTAGGGATGGAAAGAGTTAATACAGCTTTAAAGATGCCAAATTTACCACCAGAGCATACCTGAGCTCTCAGAGAACTTGACTGAGTTACATCAACCCCAATTCATCTCCTTCTATGAGGGTTCAAATAAGACAGAACCCATGTCTGGCATTGTTAAGTAAAAGTATTTCAATGCCTCCTAGTGGCATATTGTATGCTCTAATTAAGGAATTTTTTAAAAAATAATAGGCATTGAAGGAATACTGTAGATGAAGTATTAAAGCTGATAAGTGCAAAGTACTAATAAAATCCTTTAATGACAGCATCCTAAATAAAAACAAAATACATTGGTTGCCATATAAAATTAACTAAAAATCTAACTGGGAAAAATACATGTGATGAAGGGGGATATACTTTTAATCAAAATTGTTTGGTTTTGGTTCAGATTAGATTCCTTTAATTTTTTTAAATAGTGGAACAGTTTTGCACTTAAATATAGACAAATGTCTCTATTAAGATTGAGTTGTTGCTTTTTATACATTTATCCTTACTAAATTAATTTGATTACTGTGTATAAGTTTCAAGTTTATTGTATAATAAAATGGGAATGATGGTTTATAGACAGTCGTCGGTTCATTTTCAGATGGTTTTATTTTTAAATTCTAATTTTTCAAGTTGTATAAAATGGTTTAATTAGTAAGCTTGAAATGCTGACTTGAGCAAAACTTTAAAATGAAGAATGCTGACTTAATTATTGCCTTAAACATTAAAAAACGATCAGCACTTACAGAAATGTAATTTAAAATGGGGGAAAAAAAGTCCCACGGAAAGGATTCTGATGAGGGTCAGTAGGAGGCAGGGAAAATAAAGTGATATCCTTTTGTTAGGCATTTAAAAATATTTAGTTAACTGCTTGCCAAAACAAAACAATTAAAATGGCAATTACCTTTAAGATAGCATCCATGCATTTGCAGCTGTTGTGATATAAAGCTAGGAAACAAAATGTTAATCTGAAATGAACAGTTTAAATATGAAATTATGATATACTTGGCTTCCTGTAGTACAGCTGTCAAGCTTGGGCAGCTCGCTGGTCAATAGTGACATTCTATGTGTCAGTGAGCAGAGTCTCTTGATACCATAACCCGCAGTTCACACATTACTGAAGCTCCAACTGTCGAGCATTCAGGTCCCCTGGTATTAGTGCAGCTTCCAGACTCTCCTGACTGGCTCATGTTTCATTCTTTGGCAATTTGCCCTAATGATATCCCTCAGGAGCTTTCAACCTCCCTTCCTTTCCATATTTAATCGTGGTATATTAATCCGAGTGATACGCAAAGAGTGCTGCACGCATTGTCATTTCCTACAATGTCTTCTAAGCTGCTCACCCAGTTTTTCAGTTTTACTTTTATGTATGTTCTAAGCCCTGACCCCAAATGCTGTATTTTCAGGTAGTCATCACTGTGTATGTAAGATGCCCAAGAAGCCACTTTGGCTGTTGCTGTATTCTTCAGAGGGGCTTTTGAAACGTCAGGATTTCTTGTTGTTGTTGTTGTTGTTTTCTGGCAGATTTGGTAAAGATCATGTGATTTGGGTCACTAAATAAATCGTTTTGTGATTGTCATTATTCGTGGATAACTTGAGCATGTGTTTTTGTTCGGGGGATCAGCGGCTACTTATCATTGTTATCCTTTTGCAAATTTTAGTTAACTGCCTGTCTCCATGGATCAGTTGCCCTGCTATACCCAATGTACTGGCAGCACATATACATCCCTGTGCTCCCGCCGCACCTGCTGGACTACTGCTGGTAAGACGACTTTTGCCAGACTCCTTTAAATCCAGGCTTTATGATCAGAAAAAAAATGTGTGTATTTGTAGATGAGAGAAGCTTGGTGCATACATAGACAAACAAAATCTCTGAAACTTGGCTTCGAGATTAGTAACCAGTATTAAGAGCTGCTTTTATGAGGGCAGAGTAGTTCTGTTTAAAGCTGGCAAAAAAAAATTATATTTGGCATACGTAAAGTTCTTTAGATTTTGCGAGTTACTTTTGCAGTCATTTAGATAATTGAATGCATAAAGAGAAGCACATACAGCCTTAGTTGTGGTTAGGAAAACCGTACAGAAGTTATAGTATCAGTTCAAGAACTCCATATCCCAGGCGTCAGAGTTTGTCTGCAGAGCCTGTCAGAAACCACATTGCCTCTTTTGAGCACACTTTCATTACCTTTACCTCAGGACACACTTTCCTTTACCCCTCTTCCCTCAGTAGCACACTGAATACCAAATACTGGCAAACGGGTTGCCTCTAATTCAGGGATTCCCTGAGTTTCTGGTTTAAATCAAAGTCTCGGCCCTACGCCACCATGGAAAGCAATGTTGGAAAGTGTTGGAAGTAATTTTGAAAAGCTTCCTGGCATTAGAAACAACTCCCGATGATCTCACCCAATTTGAGTTTGACTACACCCCCCAGAACTCTTCTGTTCTCTTCCTCTGGAAGAGTGTGTATATTCTCAGTGAGGCTGGACAAGGGTTGGACTCTGGAACAGCAGCCTGGAGATCTTCTTCTGGACTGTAGGATAAAATGTTCTCTTCATGCATCATCATCTTCTGCCAGCATAACCTACTTCTTAAGAATTCTGGGTTTTTTTTCCCCTCTAAAACATGCATGTGCACATACACACATAGAAACTATAATAAGTTTGTTTATATTATTAAAAAACAAAAAACAAACTCAGAAGCAAAGTATTTAACTTTTTTATTTCATGAAAAACAGATCACTTAAAGTATTTAAGGATTAGAGTGATTTAAATTCATGCATATGGTTTTCTGTTCAATTTTTATGACTAGCCCTCTTCAGATCAAGTGATTGTAATGATACCACATATATTTGGCCCCATATTGATGATACCAATATATTGTGTGTTTCCACAGCATGGTGATAGTACTGATAATGCTTTCAAGTAGGTTCCCAATGATCTACCTCTGCCATTCAGTCCTTTGAGTACTGGAAAGGAGAAAGTTTGGCAGGAGACTGTAGGTATGCAGCTTAATTGTTGTGGAGTTAAGCTAGATCTATAAATACGATTTTAGGTATTCATTTTAGAGTGTTTTTCCCTGACCATCATAACTAATATACATTAGCATCCCTGAAGGCAGAAATGGCAGTTGATTCACATTGACAATGCCACAGAACTTGACACATGGTGTTCAGTAATTAAAATTTATTTTCTATAATTTTTACAAAAGTATTGGAAAACATATTGATACATGATTTTTGTTTATTATTATTGTTATTATTATTTTAAAGTTTATTTTGAGAGAAATTGAGATAATGTGCATGCGTGCACCTGAGTGGAGGGAGGAGCAGAGAGAGAGGGAGGCAGTGAATCCCAGACAGACTCTGTGTCGTCAGCGCACAGCCCACGTGGGGCTCATTCTCACAAACTGTGACATCGTGATCTGAGCCAAAACCAAGAGTTGGACACTTAGCCAAATGAGCCACCCAAGTGTCCCAATACATGATTTTTAAAAATACACGTCAAGGTGGTGGTTCAAGAACTAACATTTCTAATGATGATGCTTATAATTATATTTTATCATATATAATGTTATGCTATTTCAATTTTTTATTAAAATGTTCTGACCTCTGGGGTGCCTGGTGGCTCAGTCGGTTGAGCCTCCGACTTCAGCTGAGGTCATGATCTCATGGTTTGTGTGTTTGTGCCCTGTGTCGGGCCCTGTGCTGACAGCTCAGAGCCTGGAGCCTGCTTCAGATTCTCTGTCTCCCTCTTTCTCTGTCTTTCCCTTTCTCATGCTCTGTCTCTCTCTCTCTCTCTCTCAAAAATAATTTTTTTTAAATTAAAAAAAATGTTCTGACCTCTTAGGAGGTACCTTCCCTCTAAGTTCAGTTGTCTGCAATGATTCCACATTTAAGACTTTCTAAAATACTGTTATTTAGAAGTATTCTGTGATGTGTAGGTAGTTCTGTGCTAATTCTTTCCAGAGATGTCTTCCCGATACTTTCTAACCCTGCATAAAGACCTTCTCCTGCTTCCACTGTAATGAAGGAAGCTTGTTTCATATTTCAGTCCCTGGAATTTTCTTAATAGTTTCTAACCTTGAAATAGCCTTTAGGATAAGTTCTAACAGCCTCCATGCCAGACAGTTCCCTGTTCCAGAGAGTACAACAGTGATAATCAAGGAGATATCTGAAACTTCCTGAGCATTAAGATCACAATGATAGGCTCAGCTTCTATTATAGGAACTGAGCCATGTAATGTAATGTTCTTTTTTTTCTTTTCTTTTCTTTTTTTATTTTATTTTCTTTTCTTTTCTTTTCTTTTCTTTTCTTTTTCTTTTCTTGCTTCTTTTTTCAAAGAAATAGCTAAGACTAGCTCTCTTGAGTCAGAAAATTTTATGAACTAAACCATTTCTTGGGGAAAATGGTTTTCTTCCCCTTGCATCCTTGCAAATGATCTTAGAATCATACTGATTTGTATGCAAAAAGGGAGAAAAATATTAGAGATTATCCCTCCAATCTCATGGTTTTTGAATAAAGATATATTTCACTTCAAAATAACACCAGGAAGATTTGATGGGATAGATGTATATTTGCCATCTCTTCAATGTGATTGGAACTTTTGATTCCTGAGATAATCCTGTCTCCTGGAAGTATTTTTGTTTTTCCACCTGGTATCCATGATGTGACAAACTGTGGAGAGCCATAATGCCATCTTGTGACCATGTAGGAATATAGCATCTTGGTCTATTGATGAGGGTTTGCAAATCTGTTCGTTCATTCATTCATTCATCCATCCATGTGTATATCAAATAGATAGTGAACACTTGTTTGCCTAGCAGTGAGCATAGGTAAGGTAATGAATAACCCTTTGTTTCTGCCCTTGCAGTATCCACAGATAGGAAGAAATTCACTCATATGTACATTCACACACATATGCATATGCACACACAAGAGGAAAACAGAGTAATACTGTAGTACTATAAGGTTTATAACAGAGGCACATGAAAGAAACACGGATAGGGGCACCTGGCTAACTCAGTTGGTTAAGCACCTGACTCTTGATTTCGGCTCAGGTCATGATCTCACAATTCGTGGGTTTGAGCCTTGCATCAGGCTCTGTGGTGGCAGTGCAGAGCCTGCTACAGATTCTTCTCTCCCTCTCTCTCTCTGTTCCTCCCCTACTTGCACACAGTGTCTCTTTCTCTCAGAATAAATAAATGAAATGAAAAAAGAAACATGGATGAGGAGACACCTAGTAAGAAGTGACACACACTGCTTGGTAGGATAGGGAAGGAGACTGAGAGGAAATGACACCATCTACATTTTTCTGATAATCTATCAGTATAAGGGGAAATGGGAGTTTCTATTTAACAGGTATAAGATTTCAGTTATACAAGGTGGTTAAGTTCTAGAGAGCTGCTGCACAACATTGTGCGTATAGTTAACAATGCTATATTGCAGAATTAAAGATTTCTTAGGAGGGCAGATCTCATGGTAAGTGTTCTTACTATGCGAGTTAGAGAAAGAACTTAATGTGGCAAGTCCATCATGTTATCACACACTCTTAACCTGAGTCCTTAAACACCTAGGAGGTAGTATGACCCTAGTATCAGTAAAATTATAATCATTCATTATTTGTTCAAGAGTGGTTGACTCACCTTTTTATTTAGGGTACCTATATGATTCTTCTTTCCAGGAAAGAGAATTGTTTATTAAAAATAAATGGAAAATTATGCTGGTTAGACAACCTAAGTTAATAGGTGGCTGTTACAGTCTACCCATGGGTGGTCCTTGTAAGAAAACCAAAAAAGACACAGAAAACTATTATAGGGTGATTACTTTGGAGTAAAGATTAATTGCTACCCAACAGAAGAAGCAGTCATAGTAGAGCCTTCTGTATCCTATCTTTGCAGAATAACTTCATTGACAGAAAGATGTAGGACAATTTAGCATGTGGATGATAAAACATCAGTGTTGCCAAGGATCTCTTCCTGACTTATTAACACCCGAATCTCATTAGGGCATTTTAGCTAAGCGTTGCAGAATTACTTTTCATGAGATTTGGCTGATTAAATATTAGAATGTAAGCAATCCAGTTTTCATGAGAAAAAAAGTATTCAGTAAAATGTATATTTTATAAAATATAAAATCTGTCTATAAAATATGTTCTATAAAACCTATATGCAAAACATCATATATAATATCATTTCTTATTTTAAGAAAATTTGCTCTGGATTAATAATGTTTACAGTTTTAACATCTCTATGTTTTTGATTTTGTTAGGAATTATGAGATAAAAACATCTAGAGATACCCAGTAATCTCACAGAAAAAGCTATGTTACTTTATTACTAAGTTCTACATAGGAACTCTTTATTGAATTTTTATTCTAGTTTAATAATTGCTAAACATTTATTTTTTATATTTCAAGTAATAACTAGCTTTTATGAAATTTAAAAAATGTTGTCTTAGATGTATTTCATAGGACTTCAGTAGGTTAGCTGCTACTTTGGGCTCTGATTTTTTGAAATCTGATCCACTCAGTGTTCCTCTTAACAACTGTAAAATGGACATGGTAATTGTTAATTTTAGGAGACTTACACATTTTTTGATTAACACTCCACTAATTATATTATTTTTTCTTCTTTCTTTCTTTCTTTCTTTCTCCTTCCTTCCTTCCTTCCTTCCTTCCTTCCTTCCTTCCTTCCTTCCTTCCTTCCTTTCTTTCTTTCTTTCTTTCTTTCTTTCTTTCTTTCTTTCTTTCTTTCTTTCTTTCTTTCGTTTTTGAAAGAGAGAGTGTGTGCTCATGTGTGTGCATAGGAGGGAGGGGCATAGGAAGTGGAAGAGAGAGCATCCCAAGCAGGCTCCATGCCCAACATGGAGCCCAACTGGGGCTTGACCTCAGGACCATGAGATCATGACCTGAGCAGAAATCAAGTCAGATGGTTAACTGACTGAGCCACCCAAGAACCCCAACACTTGTTATATTAAAATGTGCTTAGAAATTTGAGATACCACAGACTTTCTATGTTATAAATTTTGTGGGTAGGATAACCTAACCTGGGGTGAATTGGAAGTTTTCACAGTAACTTGAATAATTTTCTACTGTTTTGGATGTGGGGACAGCTTGACATATTTAAGATCTTGGGATTTGCTTACCCTGTTTTGTGAAAATGTTCTGAACCTGGTGTGGGAGCCCAGAATTGTTAGTGACATATATTTTATGTCTTTAGTGGAGTCCCAGAAGGAATTCCAGAGATGAGAACTTGAGCTAGGGAAGTAATCAGCCTTCCTTTATTTAAGCAAAAATGGAACAGTCCACATTTATTCCTCCTGTTTCCTTTTGAAGGCAGAAAATCTGTTCGGTCTTAAGGATATCAAAGCCTGTAAATAGTTCTTAACTTTCAGTCAAATGATCCAAAATGTCAGATCAATTCCAGATGGTCTGTTGTATTAAAAAAAAAAAAAAAAAAGATAGGAAGGAAAAAAGCTACAAAAGGGAATTAGAATTGGAATCTAGTACAGTAAGAAGTAATGAACAGGATAATGAGGAGTCAAATAAAAACTTTAACCATCCTTATATATTTTTTTTGTATGTGAGTTCTGGATATATGTTAATGGTTAGCCATCTTCAAATAAATCTGGAGCTGTTTGAGGTTACTTTGAAAACTGTGGATCTGTCGAGGTGCCTGTTAGCTTTATCTGTTACTGGTTCTCAGTAGCAAAGTGGATACACAAGGAGTTTGGGCAGCTCAATATTAATAGTGAAAGTGATGTTTGGAAAGTTATGAAAATTCTTTGAAAAAACCTGTTTTCATTAACATAGAAAATGTTCGCATTAAATATAACACAATGAGGTCTATAAAAGAAATGTCAAAGAATGTTTTAGCTATTTATTTGCATATCCTCTATCCACATTTATAGACCTCTGTCCATTTTCACGTTTTGTTGATAAATAATATTTTGATTTTGAAATGTCAAGTTGGATAATTCCCTTCATGTATTTCATGAGAAATGTTTTTGAAATTACTAATAAGCCTGATTTTATGTCACAAAAATTATTTAATGTCTGTGTCCTTTGCTGGAGTATAAGATCTGCAAAGGGATCTATCCTGTTTATGTCACTTATTATTGTACCTAGCCCGTGGCCCAGGTCCTAGTGCCTGGTATGCTCCAGATATTGTCTATAGAATTAATTAATTCAGTATCATGCTTCAACATATTTGAATAATTTTTGATTAATTTAAAGTATTTTATTAATAAAAGCAAAAGTGAAATAAATAGGAATGTGTGACATTTAAATAAAGGACAAGGTACATGAGCAAAAAGGTAGCATGGAAAGAGAATGGTAACAGTAGAGTAAGGACTTGTTTATCTTTGTACTTCTAGTTTCCAAACAGTGCCTGGCACATAGTAGGCCTTAATAAATATTTGGTAACTGATTCAAAAAATTTTGGTAATGTAGTAGATATGAAACGACGATATTTTAAGAAAATCATAGAAAATAAGAATCTAATTGAATAAAAAAAGGTGTATGAAAGAAATGTGAAAAAATTTGATAATTATTTAGGATATATTTGATATGAAATATATGGAAGATTTAACTCAGACTATGGCCTAGGTTCTAATATTCTTCCTAAATAAAAAAGCTTTTTTAGGCATTACTACTCTTTAATTATAAATGCGTTTGTGAGTTTTATACAAACCAACCTTAGTTTGAATATATTAATGACTTCTCAGATTAAATTTGACTTTAATATATTGAAAAATTTTGAATATCTGTAAGTGGGCTATGTTAGAACTGCTCATTTAAATAATTTAATTTTTTAAACTTTCTTAATTACTTATATTGTTTCAGTGTTAATGAACTTTATGAATATATCCATTATATATTTCTAATTTAGTGCTCCAATGCCATACCTGATTGGAATACACTCCAGCCTTGTAGAGGTGAGTATCTTTCAGACATGAGATATGTGAGTGATAAATTAATGAATAAAAATAATAGTTAAAAGAGTTGTATTTTGAAAGAGTATCAGTTGAATAGTACAAAGCAATGACTAGTTTCATATTTAGGGTATACTTACATGATCATTTTCAGAAAGATAATATTGGAATAATTTAATTTTAATTAGCATATTAAATGACCATCTTCAGTGGTATGAAACCCATGAAAATATGTTAAATTTGGTCAAGGTCATATGGTAAATTTTAAGTACTAAATACTTAATTTTTGATGAACCACTTTCTTTATGGCACTTGGGATCTTTTATATCTGTTTCTTTTTCAGACCTTATTTTGAAGGTCAGAATTTATGTATTATAAGTCATAAACGGAAAATGTTTTTATTTTTCAAGCTTCAGTATACTTTTGGTCAGTGTGCTTTTTCAAAATGTGGTTGGAATAATCATGAAGTTTTCAATTAAAATAGAGATTTTAAAAAGTTTAAAAATTTTTTTGCACTGTTATCACTCCATTCCAAAATGATTTTGGGGGCTTATCATCACTGTAGTGAAAAATGTTGAACTTTAAATACCTTGAACGTGAAATCAGTGAGATTTCCAAAGACTTCTTAGAAAATTAGAAAACAATGAACAAAAGACTTGGATCCAAATAAAATACTGGGGTCGATTGCATGGCATTATTATACTAGCTGATTGCTATTTAAAAAAAATTGTTTTTTGGTTGTTGTGCATATTGCACTTTAATCCAGTTTCTGATTAACAACCTAAATGAGTTAGATTTGGTTTTCTTATTACTTGTTGTCATGTATACACCATCAATCCTCACTTTGCTGATCAAGGAAGATCCTGCTGACTATTTCAGGAGTTGTGAGGATCATGTCTGCAGAAATCATGTTCTGATAGTAGTCCTGAATTATAGAATTCTACTCTGTAGAAATGTACTCTGGTTTTGGTCACGTTCTCCTTTTGCACATTGCTGGGGCAACATTTTTTATTTGTTTAGTCATTAATAATATTGAATATATTTTAATGAATTTCTTTAGTAGACTTGTTTTTAATTTTGAAGTTTAAGTTGAATAACATTATGAGTCTTTATGTTTGTTAATTTTTAGAAAACTTGTTTTACATGCCAAGGTACTTTCAGTGAATGACATTGTGTATGAATGAATATTTAATCTGTTATTTGATTGTAGAACTGGTATTTTCTTCATCAGTATTTTGACTGTACAAAATCTAACCACATTTGGTATGGTTTCAAAGAAGTCATCGTATCTGATTTTGATATAAGTGCACGTGTCTCTTCTTATTTAGTATATCTAATAGAATATATAATTTTTTAATATATTTACTTGTACAGGGGAAATATATTTAAAGTTGTTTATTATACCTGTTGATGTTCTGTATTATTTTTACACAATGGCTCTATACAGACTTTTAAAACAAATGATTCAGCTTTTCCAAAATATTTTAGAAATGGGTACATGTCTTAAATATTCAATCATATTTATTACATATTTACTAGACATATATAGAGAAAATCAACACTTTTTTTTTTAGAAGCAAATTTAAGAATTTTTTACTTCTTGCAGTATTGTCTTAGAGAAATGGTCCATTCTGATTTTGAATTCGGTCATCATTAAATGATAATGTTTAAAGCCATGATTAGATTGGCTAAAATCTCTGTACCTTTTATACTTTGGACTTACTGAACAGTCTTCTTAGTCAATTCTATTTGGTTTAATAGTCAATGAGAAGCTGTAACAGGAACTTCAAGAATGTGTTTAAATCAGTTGGGTATCATTTAAGAACTTTCTCCTTAATCTGTTACAAGAGATACATCCTGCCATTCCATTCTTACTATGTCATTATTAGGCAGATTTTTTAACTGAAAATTTGATCTTTCTTATTTTATGCTAATGGTATTATAATTCAAATATGGATATACCTGTTTACAAATTTTATGTGAGACTGAGTACTTTTTTACATTTTGTTTGGTTGCAATTACAATGAATTTTTTATTTTTTAGGAAGAATCAACATATTCCCTATTCTCTCTGTCAAGACAGTTTTGACATATCAGTTTTACAAAGACTTCTAAACATAATTGTTCTAAGATGTGAAACTAATACCCTTTTAAATCTTTCTTGTAATTATTTTTGCGTAGTCATGAGTATAAGATGGCTGGAAATCTCTCTTTTTAAATGTAAATCTGCTTCCAAAATAAAGGATAAGGACATTTTATTCTTCCTGAAAATTAGACCTTAGGGATGAACTCAAAGGTCTGTAAATGATGAGGAGTATAAGTTAGTAGAGGCTACAAGTGTGAGCATAGTATTATGTGTTTTAAGATACACAAAAGATTCTAAGTAAAATGTTGGCTCAGTTTTACAGGAACATGTGATTGCTGACAGCAGGTCATTTTCTTGCGTTACCATACGTGATGCACATTTGGAGTCACATTGCATGCGGAGAGGATGCGAGAGGAAGACTTACCAACCTGAATACCTTTCTCTTGTCCTTAATAAGATTTTCAGTCTGTGTCCTAATATTATTTTTCTTATTTTTGAAGAAAAAGGCAAATTCTCTCTTTTCTCTTTCCCAAGCCAAACAAGCTTATGAATTTTATGAGATAAAATAATCTGAGACAGAGAAAGTGGTATCATTTTATATGAATTTTTATTCCTATTTAGAATATAGTTAAAGCCTGACTTGGAGAGAAACAAAGATAAAATAGTGACATTAATCCAAATAAAAATTTTAAATTACATACTATTTTTCCCTTTTTGCTTATGTAGAATTGTTCTCATTTTAGGGTCTCAGTGTATTGATTTATTGAAATTAATACATTTTACATTCTTACTGAATGGTCCCTTGGACAAAATTTAATACTCAGCTATTATCAGACATTTTTAAACTAAGGACAAGTTGGAAAAAAGTATACAGTTCACGTTAATACTAATTTTCTTTATTCAGAGTTTAGCGTTAGTGTCCTCACAAAACATTTAGGTGTCACATAACCATTAGTCCGGGCTATTTAGAGGAATTCATTTCATCCTTTAACAAATGCACTAGGTTTCTGGATTATCTTTATAGTTTCTGTTAAAGGAGACAACTTAGAATTGAAGGTGAAAATCAAAATTATGACATACTTTTTCCACTCAAATGCCATTGATACAAATGTATTGTTGCTTATAAAATAGGTGATTTTTGTAGTTATGCTCTAGCTAATTTATAAATAACTACATATTTTTGTATGGAAGCCTTTTTTACCTGTATGTATACATAAGGAAAGGAAAGGAAAGGAGTTTATTTATAAATGTTTTGGCAATAGTGTCACTGTTGTAGGTTGTTCCCTGTTAATTCCCAAGAAACAGCCACCCTCTGACTCTCATTTTGGAATAATTACAATGTCTTTTACAAGATGGATTTTTAGTATCATGTATCCCCCTGAGAATCCATATTCTACACAGACATTATTGCTTTTTTAACACATACAAATTCCCTACTCTAGACTACCATTTCCCTAGCAAATTTAACATTCTACATACTATGCAGAGGTTTGAAGTTCTAAATGGATCAGAGAAATTTCAATCTAGAATAACTTAAAACAAAAAAAAAATTGGGTTGGCCAATTTAAAATGTAAGGTATTTAATAATTCTCAAAAATAGCTGTTATTCTAGAATGTCATTTTTAAAAATACTACACTGAAAAAAATACTACACTGGAATTAATTGACTTGTTGATAGTTGACCTATACATTATGGAATTCTGAGTTGATACATTTCATTATTGAGCACCTAATTTATTTGCATCAAAAAATAATGCTATATTTTCATCAATTAAATAAGGCAAATAGAATTATATGGTTTGTTTAAGTATACATATTAGTTTAAATAGGGAAAATAAACCTTAAGTATTTTCTTTCGTTAAGGATGAAAAATTTGATGAAATTCTAATTTAGTGTCATTAGTCCACATATTGAGATAATTTGACCATCTACTAAGTGGTCAAACAAGACAAATCAAATAATCTGATAGGCTATTAAATTTAGTCTTTAAAAATTTTTTTTTTTAATGTTTTTTTTTTGAGAGAGACAGAGCGTGAGCAGGGGAGGGGCAGAGAAAGAGGGAGACACAGAGTATGAAACAGGGTCCAGGCTCTGAGCTGTCAGCACAGAGCCTTATGTGGGGCCGGAACCCATGAACTATGAGATTATGACCTGAGCTGAAGCCGAAGTTTGACGCCCAAACAACTGAGCCACTCAGACACTCCTAAATTTGATCTTTTATATTAAATTCATGTTATAAATATTACCATTCCTTATTACCACCCTCTTTATCATTTTTGTTATTCAATTTACAGTACTCATCATCAGCTTACACCCAAATTGGTATGGAAATACAGAGAAAATGTTTATTAAATTAAAATTTAGTTTACTACAGTAGTCATATTTATTATTGGCTTATGTTAGCCCTACAATATGACTTTTACTAGAAATAGGTTTAGAACTAGCCATAAGTCCCTGTATAATTGGACTGAAATTCAGTTTAAACATTGTTAATGTTTAAAGGATGTACGTTTTTGTGGTTTAATACAGCTGGGCCTATTTTGTGAGTTTTTGTTGCAGTATCTCTTTGATAGTTAAATTATATTCAGTATCTCCAAACTAAATCAATGTTTAGATGAGCAAACATTCTATTTTAAGGATTTTTTATCCAATCTTTTGAACGGGTGTAGACAAACTTTTTTTTCTCATAAGGCAATTTTTTATATGTTCTTATAATATAGGATTTTCCATTTCTTCCCCCAAGGCTAATTGTCATTAAGCTAATTTTCTCTACATTTCTAAGCTCATTATAGTTTTGGAAGGAAAATATATTAAGATATTTATTTGTAATTGTGTTTTTTAAACAGAGACTGAAAAATAAATCATTGGAGGATGTGGTTATGTTAAATGTTGACACAAACACTTTAGAATCACCATTTAATGACTTGAACAACCTTCCGAGTGATGTGGTAAGTCTGAAGGTTATTTTGTGTTGAACATGTATCTATCTATCTATCTATCTTTCTATCTATCATCTATCTATCTATCTATCTATCTATCTATCTATCTATCTATCTATCTATCTATCATCTGCTTTCTCCTGGACCCTTGAATTACCAAGAGTTATTTTTCCCAGTTTTTTATCTGAAATAGAAGGACTGAGTATGTGCATGGGTGTGAGAGGAATCAGTGTAGATGCTATATTTAATATTTTTACCTTTTGGCAGTTGAGGAGATGTTGAATGGAACATCATATTCCTATTGTAAAAGTAGGATCATAATTAAAAAGCTAGATGCATTCATTAGGCAGAGTTTCTTTAAACGTAAGTCTCTTCATCTCATCTTAATCATTATATTACAAAGTAGGCATTTCTGTCTGCCTAGTGGCATGTCTTGCAAAAGAATGAGAGAGTTTTTGAAGGCAAGAAGAAGAAGGGGGCCAATTATCGGCTTTTGCTTCCCTGCCACCTGCCAGTGCTTTTCCTTTTAATTAATGATCTGATGGCACTGGTCAATATAATAAGAAATGCTTGTACAGTTGGGGTCAGAAAATTCTGGCTTTGATCTCCCTCAACTTTCTGAAACATTTATTTGTTTTCTCTAAATTATTTCAGTTTTATTTTAATCTTTTCTATCCTGCTGAGGGCCGCAAGAATGAAAACCTACACTGTTTGTCATTTGCTTTGGCAGAGCAAAGACTGCTTACTTAGAATTCTATTTGTAAATTAAACTGCAAACCCAGTTTGTCATAAAAGACATCTGATCCTTTTGAAATGACGAAAACTGTCTTTTGTCTGTAAAGGCTGATAAATTAAGTGCCAATTCTCTTCTGCTCTTTGATCTTGCAGAGCGTTTGTGTGAGTGTGTGTGTGTGCGCGCATGTGTGTGCGTGCAGCTTATAATAGAATATACTCTGTATTTCATGTTAAATAATCTCTGAAAGTGCATTTTTGGCCTGTGTATTCCTTAGAACAGGGCAAAATGCAGGCTAGTGTTGTTTCTGTATATATTTTAATGGCTATTTAAAAATATAATATAGTTCTAAGTTAAAAATAAGTCTCTTTTTAAAAAAATCCAGTTTTTCAGGGATATTAAAATTTGGAAATAAAAAGCCTTCATGATATATTTTTCTGCAGTATTGCAAGTACTTTGAAATCATTAGGGAGTTTGAAAAAGTGAATTTAAAAAATTTCAAACTCAAAAAATAATAGTAACACTAGCTTTGATTGTTTTTATCACTAGTGATAGGAAAAACGTGATTTTACAGTTAAAATCAGATTATCTGTGCCCATAAATAACCTAAAATACTTGCTGACCTTGAAGCAAATTAAATTGAACTACTTTATCTTACTGTAGTAAAATTTATGCTATGTATGAACAAATCTAAACCCAGGCCAGTAAAGAATTATATTATCTTTTTAGCTCATTAGAACTAGATTGCCTCATTATAAAAATTTTGCAGAAGCTGCTAGAAATGATTAGAGTTATTCATTTAGAAATCCATCAAAGAATTCTTTATTGGATAGAGAACTAATTATGATATAAAGTCCCAACTTTTAAAAATATTTTCTTTATGTGCAATGCATTTCCTACTGTTAATGCTCTAAGTAGGAAGGATTGTTTATAAAAAGAAAGAAGAAGAGGAAGAAAAAGAAAAACAAGAAAGAAATCAGCTTTTTTTGTGTATCATAAAAATGTTTATAGTCAGCTTCAGTGGTTATCGAGAAAAACAATTTTTAATATTAATGTTTTGATGGGTAATTCCTTTTTAATTGAGAAGTACTACTTTTCCAGTAGAATTAGTTTGATATCAAGACATTTATTTTAAAATATGAAGAAGGTAAGCAGTATTTACAAAATGGAAAAGCCTAAATATGTGAAATGAGAAGAGGGACCATCTCGTTGCTTACTTATCAAAGTAACACTTAACTGTATGTAAGTGAAGTGAAAAAATCACAGAAAGGAACTCTGCAAAGTGGTGTAGATATAACTATATGTATGCTTGAGATTAAGGGCTGGAGACTTACAGACAAATTTGAACAGTGAATCGATGGATACAGCTCTGGAGTGGAACCAGGGCCATTTACTGAAAGTATGAGTTGTTTTAAAGTTATATAGTCATTTTCTACAAATACTTTAAGTGATTGTTTGTTTAACCCCTCTCTAATAAATTTAGCTTTTTTCCATCCATTTTCCAAAAGCTATCTCTTGTAGTTCTGCAGGAAATATGCTGAAGTATCACATCATACTTTTTATAATTGTCAGTGTTTTAAATGAGATGTGTTAGAGTCACAAATGATCTTACTAAATTTTTTGTGTTGCGATATAAATAAAGAAAACAGACTTGAATACTGAAAAAATCCCCTGAAAAAATCCTGGTATTGTTTGATTATTGAAGAAATTAACTCATATTTAAAAGGGGGCCTTTTAAAATCATTCACCAAATCATTTAAATTATACTTACAGGGTAGAGGACTTTCTATGCATATGCACTCTATTATTGTGTCAGCCTGACCAGTGGTCTTGGCTGTTCAAAGGTCAGTGGTCACAGTTGTCCTGAATTACTAGTTCTTTTTTCCTGTGGACCCTCTGCTGTGTTGCATGCTGTAATCTTCTTAATGGCTTCATTCCAATATTCACACATAATATTTTAGATTTATTGACTGTTAGAAATACTACCATGCCAGTAGCAGTTCCGCTACTCTTAAGGTATTTAAAATTGGAAAAATAAATCAGGGCAAAGCTTTCAGGAATCCTTTGTTTTCCTTAAGGGAAGGGAAAAAACTCTCTTCCTGTCTTCTGACAAGAACACTTGTTTTTCGATTTCATCATTTCACTATGGATTTGGATCATTAACAGAAAAAAAACACAAATTTTATTCAGAGTGATTTTAACATATTGATTATTACGTGGAATATCTTAAAGGCAGTAGACCCATTAAAATATACTTTTGTAGTTTTCTGTCTGAATACATTGCAATTTTATTTTTTAGTGGCTATGTCAAGTATAGATACCTTCAAACACGTAGGTTGAGTGTTTTGAAATAACAAATAAATTTGAGGGTTATGTAACAGTATCAATTGAATTTAGTGTTATCATGCTATATTTTTAAATGTGGGGAAAATGAAACAGTTTAATTAAATACAACATTTGAAATTTCAAGTGATGAATTCTTTTTAATTTTAGGAAATATACTATGGAGATGCCTTCCTTCCAAATACATACACACATTTAGTTTCAATTACATAATAGTTTGAAATATTGTTGTCTAAAGTATTACTGCTCATTTTAATTTTTATCATCACTAGTATTTTTAAAAGTAATTTGGAGATTTCTTAAGTATTTCAAAAATAAGTAGGACAACTCACTTGTTAGAAAATTAAGTTAATTAGAACTATAATGAGGTTTAGGAAATCTCTTTGTGAGAAAATTAAACAATTACAAACTCTTATAAATGAAAGCAGGTTAGAATTGACATCTGAAAAAGTTACAGCATTAAAATACCCATTACTGGAAAAGTGAATTTTTATCTGTGTTTCTTTACTGTCTTTAAAGAATTTTAGCTGATTGGATTATAAAATAATTTACTCTCAGGTCAGTATACTTACTCCTATTTTAGATAAGAAAAAGAAGACACAGAAAGTATACTGTTAACAGTGTTTCTAGAGCTTTAGTTCATATAGTTTCATTCTCTCACACTTTTGCCCCAAATACTAGACCATAGCCCCTTTCATAAAACATGATGTACAGTGTAACGAGTAACTGTTTTGGAGTTTACTATAGAAGCTTACTCTCTATTCAGATCTTGCTTACGAAGTATCAGTGTGACCTATTTGATTTAAAGTCGGATTGTTAACACTTTAAAAAAACTTATTTTCATCTTATATGTAACACTACTGGGAAATGATTTTTTAATTTTCTGTTATGAGGGTGTGTAAGAAATATAATATTCACCATAGACCTTGGTATGTTACAGGATAGCTACATTTAGTATAAAGCATATTTAATTACTAAAACTTTAAAAAGACTTTATTATAAAATGGAGTCATCTAAAGTACTGTGGATCTTATAGTGACACTTTCACGGATCAAGTGAAGGAATAGGTCAATGGTTTTATGGTAGAATGAAAAGACGCAAATTGCTCTGAAGCATCAAAAATCATTAAAAGCCTGAACTTAGGGAAAAACCCCAAAGCTCCAACTTTAAGTAAAAATTTAAGATATCTACATTTGAGGGAGTTAATTAATTTATGAAAAATTTGGAGAACTGGCTATTACAGAGATATTTATTTTTATTTTTTAATATTTTATTCAGAGAATTTTTAAAATCGGCTTTTTTAAAAAAAATGAAAATTTATAAACAAATTTAACTCTTTCAACTGTATGAATAGCTAATAGATAGGTTTAATTCATTGGATATTTCCCCTAACCTAACATGAAGGTTTAATATGTTAAATTGTCATAATAAATGTTATAAAGAAAAAGAAAAGCCCCCAGAGAATATTATATTAGTTCCAGGTTTGCCACAGCTCTGCTATAACCCTTATCATGTTTAACAGTAAGAAAATTCCCCAGCAAAATTCTAGAGTGGCAACGTTAGAAAGATAACCCAGTTTCATTCAGGTTCTAGAGTAATTTAGAGAACATTTTGGTGGTAGTTGTTGCTTTGCTTTGTTTTGTGTTTTGTTTTGTTTTGTTTTGTTTTGTTTAATAGAGTAGACTTCCGGAGACAAATACTGCTTTGAGTTTCCCCCTGGAGAAATGCAGTTATACTCTCTTCAGTCTCCAGCTGTTAACAATTCAGGCACCTAGATGTGCATTGCCCCCACCACACAGCCTAGTGCAGAGCTTTGTAAATAGTAGGCATTCTGTAAATGATGGGTGAAGGGAAACATAATTGTATTTCTTTTATCATTTGTTATAGAAGTTGCTTTTAAAATCCCTGTTTAGAGTTACTTAGAACATTTTAT